TGCTAATACTTTTTGCTTTGTTGCAGTTTACATTTCAACAAATAATCCTACTCTGCCTCTTGGGTACTTTTAAAAATAATCATGTAGACTAATTAAAATAGTTTCAGTTTTTTATAAATGAAAGTGACAAATAAAAATTGAAGGAATTTGCTCAGTTATGTAGCAAGCAAGAACAAATCCAAAATTATGGTCCAGAATTCTAGCCTTACAAACTAATGGGAAGAATATTAAGAGAAAAATGAAGTGTGTAAATCATAAGAAATGAACTGAACGAAGGAAAGGGCTCTCTAAGGTTTAGGTGATGACATGAGGTAGACCAGAACACATCCAGGCAACCTCCTATCAGGTAAGTCACAGACATATGTGCCTGCCACTCTCAAAGAGCACAGAAAAATGCACTAACCTTTTTTTTTTTTTCCCCGCATGAGTTTGCGGTCATATAGAGGCAGGTGTGAGGAAAACAAATTCTCAGTAACTGACTTAGTGGATGAGTCAGTTACCTTTGGTTGTTTGTTCCACAATTCTACAAAAAAACTCATTCAAAATAAAAAAACAAACAAAATCACCAAATATATGGTGTGTGTGTGCATGTTTATACACACACATATTTACAAGTTTTATACTTATAGAAACACAAATTATCACAATTTGCATTTGTCACATGAGACTTACCTGCTTTATTCCTGTCATAAGGAACAACAAATGGTATAATTCACAGATACAAAAAAATCCTTCTTAAAAATATACATGCTATTCCATATTCCTAGGCAATATCTAGTATGATATATGCTATTATTCACCAAGTATATTTGTAAAAGATTTTATAGGCAATGGATGTTCCTTAAAGTATCAGTAACAAACAATAAATTTTGATTACTATTAGTGATTTAGTTATCTCCCCCAAATTAATTTATTGCAAAGTCTTCCTAGAGACCCATGCCCACTAAGTTTGTTTTGAAATGGTGAATTATAAGTGGTAGAAATCCACATACTGTGTCAGGAGTTTGTTTGAGTGATGATACTTTCCTAGTAAATGCAGGTGTTCCAGATGCCTTCTAAGAGAAGTCACATTTTCCCATGAAATTTACACAAAAAATTCTATATTGTACTGTCAAATAGCCCTTACTTTTGTGTTGTTTCTTCTTTTTTTCTTTAGTATAGAAATGAGTATGGAAATAAAGACTTGAAATACTGAAAAATTAAAAATTTAACTATCCTAAACTTAGATACTTAGGTTCTTATATCTAATACTTATTAGGCACATTTACATTTAAATGGGAAAATGTTATCACCATAAAAAGTATTATAATATCCTGCAAACATCAAATAAGTTCAGAATTGTGAAATAAATAAAATTTCAATACCCTGAATTTAAAATGTTTAAAATTACAATAGTGTGAAGGTTTTGCATTTTATCATATATGCAGTTAAACTATATATCCAAATATGCATGTACTATAATTTTTACAAAGCTATCCTATAAATAGAAATAGTCAGATCAAGCATTTCATAATATCTTTGCAGACATATGCCATGAATACTGAAAATATAGTCAGTGGGATTCTTAAAAATGCAAAGTTAAAGGTTGGAATGGGCCATTATATCTACTTTTCCCTTGACTTATCAAGAAAGTTACATGGCTTCAATCTGTCAGAACTACCAAAGAAGTGAATCTCTATGGGAACCTTTGTGCAAGGAAAGAAGGTTGGACAGACCAGTGCTAGAAACTCATCCAGTAAGTGATAAACTCCTTTATTTGCCAGGGTAGCAGTAAAGCAGGTGGGCTCCATTCAGAAAGGGAAAAAAAATAAGACTTCCCCACAAATTAAAGCACGGATTCTGATTCAGTAGAAATAGGAATGAGGCCCAAGTATTGCTGCTGTAGCAACTTAGACAAGTCTTTGATATTTTGATATGTCACTCTTTGATATTTGTCTTTAAGATAGAGAATTATTATGGTTTCCTTTAGCTCTCAAATGACCTGATAAAGTTCTAGAATCTTCTCTGGGATACAACTGGGTTACGTGGGTATATAAGAAAGTATCTCTCGTTCCATCCAGTTTTGTCACCTTTATTCTATAGTTTTTATTTTTTCCCAAAATATAGGAATTACTGAGCAAGACCCCAAGATCAATGCACATTTGCCTTTCAAGACCACAGTCATATAAAAGATCATAATTATACAAAAATTATCTCCAACTCACAAAAGAAACACTTGTTTCATGGAAGTAGGCAGTGAAGGTAAATGTTTTGGGAACAGTCAGCCAAACTTCTGTCACTGGACCACCAGAATTATAAACCTCCCTTGTCTCCTGTTGCCATTTCAGATTATTCAAGGCCACACACTCACTCAGAGGGGATATTTTCCCCTTGCCATTTCACTTTCTCAATGCCAAACATCTACTGTGGCTTCCAATGAATCAAGTTCTCCTTCCTCTCCTCCCCTGGAAGCTCATGCTCCCGGGAAAATGGCACAAATATAGTGGAAGCCAGCCTTTCCCAGGCTGGACTTGTAAACAGAAAGCAAGAACACCATTCTTCACCAGGAAACTGACCCACAAAGCTGACTGGATTCAGTTAAAGAGATTGAGAAGAAGGTCAGCTAAGAAAACAAAGGGAACTCTCTCCATAGTTACTTCTGATAGAGTGCTACAAACCCAAAAATAAAGCTTTGTCCAAGGCAAAGGAAATAAACAGAGGGCATATTAGGTGAGACCTGGGGAAGAGGCGACTCTACATGTGACTTCTTTGCATGTTTTGTGTCTATCTTCTCTTTCCCAGGGAATAACTGCTTCTATATTTATTCTCTTTTCTCACTACCCCCATTTTCACACTGTAATGTCTACTAAAGTGTAATGCTTAAAAAAATTCTGTTTCTCTTGAGCCATAGACACACAAAAGTGTGTGTGTGTGTGTGTGTGTGTGTGTGTATATATATATATATATATACAAAATAGATATTTATGTAGTGAGGCTGCTACTCTAAGATACAGACTTCTGTGCAAATACTATATGAAAATATAAGAATATTTTTCTTCTGAACTAACATTTAGATATTTCTCTAATTCTTTGATAACTACAGCTTAAGATAAAGGTGATACTGATAAAGTTCACAGACACTTGACTAAAAACTTAAATACCCACAGTATTCACATTTGTCCCATTCAATCCATAATCAGTGAAAAATATATTACTAAAGGCTAGCATTTATTTATATAAAATGCTTAACTAGTAAAGGGTTAATGATGTTAGAGAGTATGGATGTTAGCAGTTGAGAGGCCATGCTTATGTGTTTGCAAAAGCATTTTTTGCATCATGTCCAAATCCCTCTGCAAACAGATAAATTACTTTATAAATCTTATTACTCCATGTGGATAAATCATACATGAAGGTTTACAAGGCTGAAGAACTGGAAAAGAAAATCTGCTTTGGATAGTAAGATCTTTGGGATTCATAATCAGTCATCACTCAGGAAATGAAGAAAGGAGTATTTACACATTAGGATTTTCTTACTTTTTATAATCTGCAGCAACACACATAAAACAAAACATGCACCACACACACACACACACACACACATGCGCACACATACACACTTCTCCAACAAGGCTAGAGATCCCAAAGCAGGACACTGTGACAGCCAACCAAATTTATTTCTGAGAAAAGGAAAGAAAACTTTGCTGCTGTAGGCAGCTCTGCTTCAGAACTGCTCCCTGATGCCCCAGGGTTTATGCATTATCAGCTCCTTGCACACAGATCAGAGGTTTATTTTCTATCAGATATTGTTTTTATTACAACAACAAACGCTATTAGTTAGACAGATGGACACTTAGTCATTTTATCCGGGTGGAATGAGATTTTAAAGGATCTCTAAGGAGAATATTTTCTTTCATTCTTCTTATTTTTTGGTCAATATCTTATAGAAATTCAATGAAAACAGGCAAAAAAGGGACAACGGTATTGGCAGTTCATTGAGAAGGAAGAAAGAGAAGAGAAACACATGAAAAGAAGAGTAGAGCTTTTTAGAAATAGAATTATAGCTAGGCTCCATGTGAGTTTCTCTAGCTCACTGTCCCTTATAGGGGTCAAACTCCCAAGGACTTGGAATCTTTCTTTCCAAATTTCAATCCCAAATTATATTTCAGAATCTGGCAGGGCTGCAGAGAGATAAGACTTTGAGGTCAATAATCAATTAAAAATATCCATTTTATGCCAGGTTAATTCTTTCCTAACCTCTGTGTCTAACACTCCTGCTCTTAAAATCAGCCATTTGTCAAGTTCCTTTTTTTTGCTTTTCTTCATCCTCTCCTTGACTTCATCCTCTCCTTGACTTCTATCCCCATACCAGAAAAGGCTCAGTAACCAACCAAAGTTCTAAAATTGATTTATTGCCCTGGATGTCAATTAAAGGATTCTTACAGAAAATCTCCTATCCAAGGAACTACTGCTAAGGCAGAGTGAGAGCTTGATGTGAACACACACTCACACACACACACACACACACACTCACACACACACCAATAGGAATGCAGTACTGTACACCACTCTCTGAGAGCCATAATTCAACAACTCTTCTTTCCCAATTAAGGAACTCCCACAAAACTCTGAAAGAGCAGAGCATCCGCAATTACAAAAGCCAGCAGACTGCCCAAATGTCATTAATATCATAGGTGAAGTTGCATGTTCTCGGTAAGAGAAACAAGCTCCTAAGAATCAAACATTTAACGAACCCTGCTGGTCCCTGACAGGGACCAAAATTCCCTTGAAATTTGTTGGCAGATACCTCCACCAGTCGGTAAGAGGCATTTCCATGGGCGCGCGCGTGCACACACACACACAGATACACACACACACACACACACACACACGCCTGCAGCATCAGTAGCTGGAGTTCAAGGAGATCACACACACACACACATACACACACTCACACACACACACACACACACACACATACACACACACTGGCGTGCAGCAGAAAAGTTGCCCAAAAGCCCTACCTGAGGATGGCCGTGTCCCCCTGCCTCACGGTGATGTTGTCCGTGCCTCGGTTAAAATCCACGCTGCGAACGGGCAGTCCTGTGGGAAGAAGGCAGAGCAATCTCAGTAGGACCAGCGGCAACTGTTTCCTATCGGGTTGAACTCTGCCGACCATGGTGGCCACGCCGAGGTGCGGGTCCGCGGGGTACTCTGGAGGGTGTGTGCGTGCTGCTCACGCTGCGAGGCTCTTACAAACAGAGGGCTTTCATCCACGGCAAAGGCAGAGCGGGCTTTGCCAGTTTGTGGTCCTTTCTACTTTGCCTCTCTCTTTCCCTTGCTCAGTCTCTCTCCCCTCTAAGACTTAACAAAGCCTTCATAAAACCCAAGCAGAGGGGAGAAAAGTCAAAGGAACACAATTTACAAAGAGAGTACAAATATAAAACCCTCTAGAAAAGAGGAGCAGAAGGCTGCAAAAGGAAGGTGTTCTCTGGTCTCTCTGTAGCTGGATGCTCCTTTGCCAGTGTCTGAGCTGAGCTCCTTCCTTCTGTAACCCACTTTTCCAGGCGGGCGGGCGAGGGAGCCGGCACCCAGCCTGCCAGGGAGTGTAAAGAAACCCACACAGCCGCGGCGGCAGCCCAGAGTCTCTCCCCCCCTCCTTCCTTTCTTGTTTCTCTCGCCAGTCCCTCCCTCTCTCAGCTCAGCACCTCCCCCCGCCCCCGGATTTCTACAGCCCCTCCACGTCATACCCCTCCCTCCCCTCGGCGTGGCCCCTCTCCTTGCACAACTGCCTCCTTCAGCAGCAGCCAGCCTCAATGAAAGCCTGATGTGCCTTTAGGTTGTCAGGACAACAGCTCCATCTGAGGCCTGGCTGATTTCCTTAAGAAGAGGGAATGGAGCTTGGAGGTACTGTGCAAGACAAGGGGAGAAGAGCGGGGCCCGGGCTATAAAAGAACTGGAGACACTGTCCAGGCAGGAGAGAGGGTGAGGAATGAAGGGAAAGGACATGGGGAGGGCAGATGGAGGGAGTAAAGGGAGGCTAGAAAGCCTGGGGAGCATGGTGGGGGGGCATGGAGAGACTTGAGCTTAAAGATGGGATGAGCAATGTAAAAGAGAGAAGAAACTTGACAGTGGAGTTTAAGATTAAAAACCAAAGTTGATTTGAAAACTAAATGTTCCTGGCAACAGGCTTTTCACACTCCCATCTTGTTCATTCTTTCCTTTCCCCTGCATTTTCTTTTACAGGATTAAAAGGTTTATTTTCTCTCCTTTATCCCCGCCCCCTCTTGGAGCCCCCTTATGAAAGATGGATTGGAGACAATGCTGGTATTGAGTGGTCTGGGGTGTGAATGCTTGGTTTGTCTATTCCAAGTGCCAGCTTCAGCAGCTGATCCCTGATCCCTAAATCAACCTCACTCTCCAGGAAAACCTCACTCAGTCGCACATGAAGAATGGTATTAAGGATTATTGTTCAAACATCACATTGCTGTGGCTGCCCAAGTTTCTACTGGCACTTGTTTCTCAAAATGTTCATACGCTAGTGCCAGTGGAAGGCTTGCCATGTAGAGGGTGACGCTAAGGCTGCACAGAGCACTTCAGTGGATGGCAGACCCGTTACCATCACTTGTCATTCCTTCTTCTCCATGAGTCAAGTTAAGTGATAAAGGTCATAAGGGACTAACACGGTTCGTCACTCATGTGAGAGCCTGAAAGGATGGAAGACTTTCAGTACTGATGCTGAAAATGAACGATGGAGGTGGACCAGCCAGGGGCCTCTTTTTTTATATTTTTTACAATTTATTTAAATAGTTAAGGCTTTCACATGGTATAAAAACCAAGTGTTACAAAATGCTGTAGTGTGAGTTTTAGTTATCTTTCCTATCCTTGTCTTTAGCCAACTGTTTCTCCTGATTGGGGGCAACCACTATGTATACATCTTTTCCTAAAGACGCACATACATAGATTATGTCCACCCCTCTCGTTTATATAATTAGCCAAGAGCATATTAAAAAAAGTATATGTTTATGAATCTTTATCAAGTCTCACCAGAGTACAAATAGTGTTGACGTCTACCTGTCTCCCCAAACATTTGAATAACTTTCGTGTTGCATTACTATCAGCTGTGAGATAGGTAAGGTAGGGAAGGAGGACCATTCTTTGTCTTTTTAAGAAAAGACTTAGAAGGATTGGAATCTGAATTGTTACAAAAATCAAGAAAGATAAAGTTCAGTTAATTTTGTTTATACTATGCATTAACTTTATATAAATCAAGGTGTCCTATACTGGGCTAATAAGCAGTTCCCAACAATAAGCCAATGATATTCTGTCCCGCCCCGCGAGATTCGAGAGGCAAGGAAGAGGGGCTGGGGATGAGATGAGAGGCTGACACACTTGATGAGAAGTTGCAAAAAAAGGACTTTATTTCCTCTCTCCCTACCCTTAAGTACCTTGTGCTGCGCCTGCGCTTTGCCTGTTCCGCATGCTTGGACTGTGTGGCTTTCTCTGATTGGCCCTAGTGTCTCTTGTGCATCTTTTACTGGCTGCCTGTTAACTATATGCATTTCAAGCTATGCAATAGCCTGCCAAGGCCCCGGAAAATATTCCACCACTCATTTGTAACTTAGTTGTTTAGGACTTGAGACCAGTTTTGCTATAGGAGAAAAATGACTAATAAGTCAAACAGTTAGTTTAACCACAAAGACCAAAATCCTGTGGTTTTCAATATCTATGGAAAATGAAATTTAGTGCCAGATGCAGATGCAAGAATTAGATCACTCTGCCAAGGTAGAAGGTAAAGAACATCTGCCCTTCCCCACCAAGGTCAACAGACATTATAACCCCCAGCAGGTTTCTTCTGAGCCTTTAGAGATGGAGGGTTGGCTTAGACACAGCATCTTCTTCAGATGGGTAGTATTTCTCCAGTGTCTGGAGGAAGACAAGAAAAACACAAAGAACTGGGGCTACTAGAACGCTGTTTCCAATGAGGATGCTCAGTGAATGGTGTGATCCCCATTGGGATCTAGATTCTTAGAGGGAAAGAACCAGACATCTCAAGAGTATGAATATATTCTCACATCAGAGGACTAAATTTTGAACAAAGGAACAAAAAGGTTTTTCCAGGACAAGGAGGAGGTATGGTGGCATGGTAGCATGTTAATTTGCAGGAAATACTTAATTATGCTCAGTTGTGGACTAATGCCTGTACCAATAATAACAAGTGATTGGTAGGACTTGGTGGTCCTGGGAAGAAGCATCAAGTTTAACAAACCGGGATGTAAAATAATTCTTACTAAAGTAGTAGGAATGCAAATTTTTTAGCAAATCAATCAGATCTGGAGATCTTACTTGTTATTTGTTTCTATTACCATTGAGAAAGGGAAGTAGTAAGTTCATCATCATATAATTCAGAAATGTAAAAACATTTATCTGGGAGGATAACATCATAAGTACATATTTGTATAGAAAAAAACATGTAACACAATTAAAGAGTTTTTTTTTTAATACAGTCATTAAGTTAAGTCCATTTGTTGGCATCTCTTGCTATATTATATTGACTTACTGAGTGCACCAAAAATAAAACACATAAAGAAGATTAGATTTTAAAAATTCTGTAACTTATACTGTTTACTAATTCAGACTGATGTTTTGAAACAATTTCAAAATCACAAAGATTATGATATGTTAATTGTTTAATATTTATCATTTAGGTTGAGTTGGCATTTAGAATACAACTCTCTAATCCAACCCATGGCCAGAGGGTACGCTCTGTAATTGTTGAGTATAAGAAGAAGATTGATTGTGTGCCCAAGTCTGCTCACATGGCTTATCTCATCATTTAGAAAATAAATAAATCTATTTGTGGGTACACAAATCACCATTCACGTCAGTGTTATATTGAGTAAATTTCCTTTTCCCTCCTTGTTTTCTCCTCTGTGATCTCTTACTGGAATCCAATAAATGCAAACAAATTCAATAGTCAATGTATATTAGGTAACTCATCTCATCCTAATGGTCACTCCCCCAAATTTACTCCAAATCTACTGACACCTCTTTTTGCTTTGATATTGCTAAGATATGTAGAGAAGGAAACAAATAAGCAAGTTACCAAAATTTATTCAAGCTATTTTTCTGTAAACCACTATATACATTTTTCCAAGAGGGCTGGCAAAAATGAACATACTTTCAGGTTATTTGTGAGGCAAGTATAGCTGTTAGCCTTGTGAAACAACCATCATCGCCCAAGTAAGATGATCTTAACTACTACTTTAAAATAACATACTGCCTTTCCAAAAGAGGCTTTAGAAGATTCTGGCACTCTCCAGGGACAAATGTTGCAGGAAAAACAAAAACTGGCTAATGTCTGAGCACCCTAAGAAGCATGAAAGGTTTATTCTTCTCTTTAGTTCTGTAAGGTAATAAGCTCACAGGAAATCCAGAGGCAGCCTGCAACGTACAACTCATCTAGCCACACTGCTTGCATTTTATGCTAAACATGTCTATAATATTAATATACCACTCTAAATTTCTACAGTTGCAAGGTCTTAATCATAATAACATCATGCCTGTACTTTACTTTCATAAGTGGAATTAGCATTTCCATATGAACTAGAAATGCAGAGTTGTTAATATGTCTCCTTAGGATTCCTGCTATGACATTCTCAATGATTTCATCATAATTCAGCATTATTCAAGTATCTCAGTTTATGCTCAGAATCATGGCATTATCTTGTGTGAATTTCCTTTGGACTTTGGCTCCTCTCAATATAATAGCTTCATTCACAAGTGTCTCACTGCCTAACAAAATCTATCAGTTTCAAGTGAGTTAAATATTGTTCAAATCCTTACTATAGAACCTTCAGTGATGTAACACACTCAATCCATACTCTGCATAATTAAAATCACTCTTTCATGATTTGCCTTTAGTTTATTCTTTGGTGGTTCACTGTTGCAAGATTGATCTTTTGCTTCTTTGCTCACTCATTCTATTTTGTGATATATCAGTGCAAATATCTATTCAAGATTCCACAAGGTCTTTGAAATCCTTGAGTTTCTACCTGGGCCCTCCTACCCCAGCAAACTTAACTCTCTCATTTATGCGTAATTATTTCACAGATATGTACTCCTTAACTCTAGGACTTTTTTTTTTTTTTTGGTAGAGAGTTCAATGTACCACCATATACAAGAAGGTGGTAATAGCCAAATAATTCTGCATCTGCATTGCTACTGCTCTTTTTGACATATCCCTAATATATGAAAAGAGTGTTGCACTATCTGGCTACGTGGAGGTCATAGTATCTTCAGCACAGTAGCATGTCAACAGAGGTAGATAATCAGACAATTACATCCTCCAACCGGGTTGCTTTGGCGACTTGGATTTCTACAATAAGAAAATAGGACAAGGATAAATAAGAAAGGTGTTCAATTCATTCTCTGGCCTGCCCAGTACGTTTATGATTCAATCATTTACCCAATTTACTTTTGTCGATATGGTAGTGAGTGAAGTTAGACCCACACTCTGTCCTTATATAACTTACATTCTTGGTGCAGAAATAGACACTAAACAAATAAACACATATTAAAATTGCTTTGGAGAGTAAGCACCATGGAGAGAAATATAAATGATACCAAGAAACTGGCCTGATGGTGTGGTGATAAGAACATATG